CCTCTTGACTATAATGAATGGGCGCTGATCCTCAGTGCTGACCCAGAGCTGGGGTAGAGATTAGTTTGCATAACTCCATCTATAATGGTGCATTTGTAACTTGGACAGCCTCCCATCTCTTTTTTTAGAGCATCCTCCCAACTCTTGGATTTCCTTGGTCCAAGGAATATAAGCTGCAAGAGTAGAATTACAGAAATCTGCACAGGTCTATGGGAAATATTCATATTGGGAGGAGGGGGGATTTTCTTTTACCCTAATATTTTTCTAGGTCTAAACTTTTATGGTATGTTGAAAAAAATTTGGGGGGTGGTGGCTATACAATAGGTTTAGATAAACAGAATAGTGCTTGAATGAGAATAGATCGAAATCTTCACGTTTCCTCCTGTATATCACCTCCAGAGAAGATGTGTGAAGTGAGGGGGTCCTGGGAGGTATAGAGAATGGTGTTCAGAGTTTCGAATTGTATTAACATAGCCTGTTGCTTCCAGTTTTGCTTGTTGTGGACTCAATTCCATTTTGGCTTTACTGTGTGATATTTTAAGCTGATACATCTTCCCAGGTGGCTAAAGTGGTAAAGAATCTGCCTGCAATGCTGGAGACAAACAGGTTCTGTCAACTTGTGGGGAAGATGCCCTGGAGGAGGAAATGGCAACACACTGCCATATTCTTGCCTGGAAAATTTCATGGACAGAGGAGCCTGGTGGGCTAAGTCTATGGGGTTGCAAAGAATTGGAGATGACTTAGCGACTGAGCACATTTTGATACTGTACTCACTAAATTCACTTGCCTTGAAAAATTCTTCACCTGTACTTTCAAATTAGCGTGTCTTCACTCACACTCTCGGCATGTCAAAAAAGAACAATATTCAGTAAAAGGGCTAAATTACGTTTCATCAAGCTTACCTTAGCCACTGAATCAGTTGTGTATTTATTGAGCACATTACTATGTATCTTTGACAAAAATACTTTCCCAGCCCCCTTTTAGATTCTTGAGTGGATCTGACCATATCTTCAGCTCCAATTAACCACAATTTTTCCTATTATATGAGTTTTTTCAATTTCCAGTTGATTTTGAAATTGACCTTGAAGGAATTTCAGAGTAGTGTTTTACTGCTTATTTGATAGTATTTTTCATTGCAATTTTTTTTCTAGCTAAGACATCTTAATTAGGAAAATTTTAAATGTGATGACTGAAGTAAAATTTTTTTTGTAAGACTGGTGCATTTATACTTTTAAGGCACGTTTAAGCTTCTATGACAAAGGTTTCTTCCTGCCTCCTCCCCCTGTTCTAACAGAAGAAACACCAAGATTCTGATTTATTTGCATTTCATTATAAAAGCTTATTTTAAAAATAAGACTTTAAGTGCAGTTTCAGACTCACCACTCTGCTTCCCTCTCAATTGCTTTAGTTGTAGGAGCTCATGATTTTTTGTGTCATCAAAAGCAATGTGAAGTCAATAGTAATTGATATCTGTGTTTAATGAAGGTACTCATTAAAAAAGCAAACCTATGTATGAGGTCTGCAGGGATTTTTAAAATTTAATTAATCTATTTTAATTGGAGGTTAATTACTTTACAATATTGTAGTGGTTTTTGCCATACATTGACATGAATCAGCCATGGGTGTACATGTGTTCCCCATCCTGAGCCCCCCTCCCACCTCCCTCCCCACCACATTCCTCAGGGTCATCCCAGGGCACCAGCCCTGAGCACCCTGTCTCAGGCATCCAACCTGGACTGCCGATCCGCTTCACCTATGTTAATATACGTGTTTCAATGCTATTCTCTCAAATCATCCCACCCTCACCTGGATTTTAAGTGAGAGGACCCTGAATTTTTCATGCTGTATCTTACCCTCTTTTTATACCATCAATGACTCTAAGAGACCAGATTTTTCCACATTACTTTTCACAGAATTGTCTTGTTCCATGAGCTTTCATGAAAAAGCATGGTATTAGCCAGCACAGAAGAGCTAGACTTTGCTGATTTTGATTGTACAATTATATTCTGAGGATTAAATCTAATGGAATATGAAAGACCTTGAAATTCACAAGTTTTCCTTCTGCTTTTTCTCCCAGAGAAACCCAGCCAAGCAAAGCCCCCAGCGATTTGTGCCCATTCATGTTCTAATGTGGTGCTTCTGTGCCTTAGTCGGTGGAACCCGTCTTTCGAGTTCCTCTTCCCAGAGTGCTGAGGCGTTTCAGTAGCGTTTGGACTTGACTGGCTCCTCCTGGTGTAATGACTGGGTAGCTGAGGAAGGCGAGTGCCTGCGATGAAACGTGTTTGGAAACTGAAACCACAAAACATGGACTCACTCACATCATGGAGCCAGTGTCTCAGAAACGACAGTCTTTTTCTTAAATGAAATTTAGATGAAAGGTTGAAAGCAGAATATAGACAAGGTTCAATCTTTTTTCTTTTTTTTTTTTTTAATGGTTTTCTGATTCTGAGAATGGCTTCCAAGAAAGCCAGCTTACAAATATAGAAGGAATACTGATTAGAAAAAGTTATATTGAAACAGTGATAATTGATTCAAGCAAGGATCATTAATGATGCTGAAATGTGAAAATGTTTGAAGAAGGCAGATGAGGACGTGTTGTAGCCCGCCAGACTCCTCCATCCATGGGAATCTCCAGGGAAGCATATTGGAGTAGGTTGCTGTTTCCTCCTCCAGCGTATCTTCCCGACCCTGGGATCAATAATGCGTCTCTTGCGTCTCCTGCATCGGCACGCAGGTTCCTTACTGCTGCAACGCCTGGGAAGTCCCATAGTTTCAAAATATCTCCCTCCTATTTTATAACAGAAAGGGACCATGGGGACTTTACAATGGGGAAATCTAGAGACCACCACCCAACCAAATGGTCAAAGTAACTGGTCAGAGGGTAAATGGACATGGTCCACTTCTGATATGACGCCCTGAGAGGTATCATTCTTGTTAAAAATGAGTAACTTTAATCATGAAGAAACTTGAATCACCACAAACTAAACTGAGAGACAGTTTACAAAATAATTAGTCTGTGCTCTTCAAAATGTCAATTCCATGAAAGTGAAGAAAGGCAGGGAAACTGGTTCAGATAAGAAGACAGAAGAGACAGGACTGCTAAATGCAACATATAAACCTGGGTTGGATCCTGAACTGGGAAGAGTTGCTATGAAGGACATTTTGGGGATAATTAGTGCGATTGAAATAAGAACTATAGATTGACTACTGTATCAATGTTAAAATTTCAGATTTCAATAATTACACTCTGGTTATGTAAGAAAGCATCACTTTTCCTAGTGAATATGTGACTAAATATTTGGGGGTAAAGGGGCATGATGTTTGCAACTTACGTGCCAATCCTTCTGAATTTATGTGTGTATATGCATCAGAGAGAGAGGGAGGGAGAGAGTGAGGCAGGGGTGGGGTAGAGATGGGATTATGAAACAAGTTAGAAAAAAAAAGTTAGTGAATGGCAAATCTGAATAAAGTTTGTGTAGTTATTCTTTGTAACATTCTTGCAACCTTGGCAAATTTAAAGTAGTTCTAAATTAAAAAAAAGTTTTCCTAGAAAATTCATAAAAAGACAAATTTGATTTGATAAAAATTTAAGATGGCTATGCTTTGTGTAAATCCATGGCTAATTCATTTCAATGTATGACAAAAACCACTGCAATGTTGTAAAGTAATTAGCCTCCAACTAATAAAAATAAATGGAAAAAAAAAATAAAATGGCTATGCTTTGAAAGAAATAACAATCACATTAAAATGTAAAATGGCAGAAATGGAAGAACAATAGATGGAGTTTACATGTACTTATAACATCAACTGAGCATCTATAAATTAATAAGAAAATACAAACACCTCAAAGTTAAAAAGTATAATGGATACAAAGAAACATTTAACAGAAGAAATATAAATGCTAATGACTCTGTCTGAACAGATGATTAATCTAAAATTAATCAGAGGAAAGCAAATTAAATTAAAACAAGAGTAATTCTATTTTTACCTTTTTTGGCAAAATTTATTTAAATTTTTTCTAATTACTTGATTTACAATGTTGTGTCAGTTTCAGGTTAGTTACAGTAAAGTGGCTCAGCAGTACATATATTCACCATTTTGGGCAAATTTAAAAAAAAACTGATTTTAGGAGAAATTGGGAGCTTTTCCTTCTTTCTACTTCCACGAAGGGATCACAGATGGACTAACCCCTTCACCTCTTTCTATAACTGATCATCCCACCCAATATCGATTACTTAAGTTAGTCAGAACCTGATCTCCACTGGACTAGGAAAGTCACGGTCTTTTTATCCTTCATCCTGCTATCTGGGGGATAATTGCTTTGTAAAGCTCTCTTGGTTTCTGCTGTGCAACCAGCCTGGCCGCTCAGCACCACGCTGTGTCCCTGGATTGTGCGGCAGCGTCTCACCGGTTCTCTCTCACACATGGGGTGCACTCAGGTCAGTGCTGCTTCCTCCTTTCATCCTGCCGTCTCCTTCCCCGGCTGTGTCCACAAGTCCTGTGTCTACGTCTGCATCTCCATCCTTTCCTGCAGACAGGTTCACTGCAGTAAGTTTAGCTTGCTTCCATGTCCTGGCTATTGTAGATGGTGCTGCAGTGAACCTTGGGGTATGAGTCTTTTTGAATTGTGTGAAAACCACTGTTGAGAGCTCTTATGCACTACATCCTGGGTAGGGTACATCATGTACACACAGTTTGCTCAACCTGTAAAACAGTTCTGTAAAGTTGGTACTATTATTACTTGTATTTTGTCAATGTTTAACTTTATTATATACTGAAACTAATTGGATGGTAAGAGAAGCAATTCCAACCTAAGAAGAAAAAAAAATCGAAGGAGAAGGAGTTGATAATTCACTAGACAGCCCTGGGAACGTTGGTGGAAATTTGCACGTTGACACCCAATGCACTGAGTCTTTCCTACTAGACTGTGTGTTCCTCCCGGGCGGGACTGTCGTCCGCTCTCCTGTGTCCTTAGAGTCCTGTGCTGACTTGACCACCACCTGTTCTGTCCTCTGTTTGGACAGACTGAGAAAACAGATGAGCAGCCGCAGGAGAACAGTGGAGAGGCACAACGGCATGCCTGCAGACGGGTGATACAGATGGGTGATGACAGAGCGGGGACAGCCAAGCGCTGGGAGGGTAATTTGAATGACTGAGTTCTACACCCATATTTCTAAATTCAGTAGGAACGTGGATGGATGGTATGACTATTCTTTTGTGCCCAGTAATTTGGTATGGGAAACCTGGGAGAATAAAACAAGCCCATAAAGCTCTGAGTTTCTGAAGCGGCAAGTAGAAGCTGTCAGGGCACAGCAGTATATGAATTCTGTGTGTGCATGCTTAGTTGCCAGTCATGTCTGACTCTTTATGATCCTATGGCCTGTAGCTCTCCAGGCTCCTCTCTGCATGGGGTTTTCCAGGCAAGAAGACTGGAGTGGTTCGCCCTTATCTTCTGCAGGGGATCTTGCCAACCCAGGGATCGAACCTGCATCTCCTGTGTCTCCTGCATTGCAGGTGTTCTTTACCCACTGAGCCATCAGGGATTCCCATAACATTATACGAATTCATTTCAGTCAGTTCAGTTCCGTCGCTCTGTCATGTCCGACTCTTTGTGACCCCATGAACTGCAGCACGCCAGGCCTGCCTGTCCATCACCAACTCCTGGAATATACCCAAACTCATGTCCCTTGAGTAGGTGATGTCATCTAGCCATCTCATCCTCTGTCAACCCCTTCTCCTCCTGCCCCCAATCCCTCCCAGCATCAGGGGCTTTTCCAATGAGTCAACTCTTCACATGAGATGGCCAAAGCACTGGAGTTTCAGCTTCAGCATCAGTCCTTCCAATGAATACCCAGGACTGATCTCCTTTAGGATGGATGGGTTGCATCTCCTTACAGTCCAAGGGACTCTCAAGAGTCTTCTCCAACACCATAGTTCAAAGGCATCAATTCTTCGGCACTCAGCTTTCTTTATAGTCCAACTCTCAAATCCCTACATGACCACTGGAAAAACCATAGCCTTGACTAGATGGACCTTTGTTGGCAAAGTAATGTCTCTGCTTTTTAATATGCTATCTAGGTTGGTCATAACTTTCCTTTCAAGGAGTAAGCGTCTTTTAATTTCATGGCTGCAATCACCACCTGCAGTGATTTTGGAGCCCCCCAAAATAAAGTCTGACACTGTTTCCACAGTTTCCCCATCTATTTCCCATGAGGTGATGGGACCAGATGCCATGATCTTAGTTTTCTGAATGTTGAGCTTTAAGTCAACTTTTTCACTCTCCCCTTTCACTTTCATCAAGAGGCTTTTTCGTTCCTCTTCACTCTCTGCCATAAGGGTGGTGTCATCTGCATATCTGAGGTTATTGATTTTTCTCCCGGCAATCTTGATTCCAGCTTGTGCTTCCTTCAGCCCAGCATTTCTCATGATGTACTCTGCATATAAGTTAAATAAGCAGGGTGACAACATACAGCCTTGATGTACTCCTTTTCCTATTTGGAACCAGTCTGTTGTTCCATGTCCAGTTCTAACTGTTGCTTCCTGACCTGCATATAGGTTTCTCAAGAGGCAAGTCAGGTGGTCTGGTATGCCCATCTCTTGGAGAATTTTCCATAGTTTACTGTGATCCACACAGTCAAAGGCTTTGGCATAGTCAATAAAGCAGAAATAGATATTTTTCTGGAATTCTCTTGCTTTTTTGATGATCCAGCAGATGTTGGCAATTTGAACTCTGGTTCCTCTGTCTTTTCTAAATCCAGCTTGAACATCTGGAAGTTCATGGTTCACGTATTGCTGAAGCCTGGCTTGGAGAATTTTGGGCATTACTTTACTGGCGTGTGAGATGAGTGCAATTGTGCGGTAGTTTGAGCATTCTTTGGGATTGCCTTTCTTAGGGATTGGAATGAAAATGGTTGTCTGAGGAGGCCTTACAAATAGCTGTGAAACGAAGAGATGTGAAAAGCAAAGGAGAAAAGGAAATATATTTGCATTTGAATGGAGAGTTCCAAAGAATAGCTAGGAGAGATAAGAAAGCCTTCCTCAGTGATCAATACAAAGAAATAGAGGAAAACAACAGAATGGGAAAGACTAGAGATCTCTTCAAGAAAATTAGAGATACCAAGGGAACATTTCACGCAGAGACCTGGTTCGATAAAGGACAGAAATGGTATGGACCTAACAGAAGCAGAAGATATTAAGAAAAGGTGGCAAGAATACACAGAAGAGCTGTACAAAAAAGATCTTCACTACCCAGATAATCACAATGGTGTGATCAACTCACCTAGAGCCAGACATCCTGGAATGTGAAGTCAAGTGGGCTTTAGAAAGCATCACTATGAACAAAGCTAGTGGATGTGATGGAATTCCAGTTGAGCTATTTCAAATCCTGAAAGATGATGCTGTGAAAAGGCCTCCTCAGACAACCATTTTGCCTTTTTGCATTTCTTTTCCATGGGGATGGTCTTTATCCCTGTCTCCTGTACAATGTCACGAACCTCAGTCCATAGTTCATCAGGCACTCTGTCTATCAGATCTAGCCCCTTAAATCTATTTCTCACTTCCATTGTATAGTCATAAGGGATTTGATTTAGGTCATACCTGAATGGTCTAGTGGTTTTCCCTACTTTCTTCAATTTAAGTCTGAATTTGGCAATAAGGGGTTCATGATCTGAGCCCAGTCTTGTTTTTGCTGACTGTATAGAGCTTCTCCATCTTTGGCTGCAAAGAATATAATCAATCTGATTTTGGTGTTGACCATCTGGTGATGTCCATGTGTAGAGTCTTCTCTTGTGTTGTTGGAAGAGGGTGTTTGCTATGACCAGTATGTTCTCTTGGCAAAACTCTATTAGCCTTTGCCCTGCTTCATTCCGTACTCCAAGGCCAAATTTGCCTGTTACTCCAGGTGTTTCTTGACTTCCTATTTTGCATTCCAGTCTCCTATAATGAAAAGGACATCTCTTTTGGGTGTTAGTTCTAAAAGGTCTTTTAGGTTTTCATAGAACCGTTCAACTTCAGCTCTTCAGCATTATTGGTTGGGGCATAGGCTTGGATTACCATGATATTGAATGGTTTGCCTTGGAAACGAACAGAGATCATTCTGTCATTTTTGAGATTGCATCCATCTACTGCATTTCAGACTCTTTTGTTGACCGTGATGGCTACTCCATTTCTTCTAAGGGATTCCTGCCCACAGTAGTAGAAATAATGGTCATCTGAGTTAAATTCACCTATTCCAGTCCATTTTAGTTCACTGATTCCGAGAATGTCGACATTCACTCTTGCCATCTCCTGTTTGACCACTTCCAATTTGCCTTGATTCGTGGACCTAACATTCCAGTTTCCTATGAAATACTGCTCTTTACAGCATTCGACCTTGCTTCTATCAGCAGTCCCATCCACAACTGGGTATTGTTTTTGCTTTGGCTCCATCCCTTCATTCATTCTGGAGTTATTTCTCCACTGATCTCCAGTAGCATATTGGGCACCTACCGACCTGGGGAGTTCTTCTTTCAGTGTCCTATCATTTTGCCTTTTCACACTGTTCATGGGGTTCTTAAGGCAAGAATACTGAAGTGGTTTGCCATTCCCTTCTCCAGTGGACCACATTCTGTCAGACCTCTCCACCTGGAAGCCCCCTGGGCTGTATTAAAACATTCCCATGAGATTAGGTCATATCTATGAATTTATATCCAACGACTACTCTTTAGCAGTGTTTTATCAGTGCTATTTAAAAGCAGCATTAGATTTGTGTACTTTGAGGTGAGGTTAAGGCCAGGAAGAGCACATTTGGCTGAATAGAAAGGGAATGAGAGCAGGTGGGAAGTGTAATGAAATGTGGGCTGTGGTGTATACTTCTCTGATGAATAATGGAAGTTCTACCAGATGTCAACTTTAGGTCTGTCTTCATTTCTAAAAGCCTCCTTTTAGTGTACAGTAGCTGTGTGATGACTGCTTATTGAATGGTAATTTGTGTAAAAGCAACATGGAAAAAAGACATGAAGGAATGAAAAGACCTCAGGCACTTGGACTTCTGTTGGAAGTTTTGACCTGCTGAAAGCAATATTTCAAATACCTTTTTAAAACATCTTTATAGAGATATAATTCACATGTGATCAAATTCATTCATTTGTTAAAAAATTCACCTTTTTAAAGTGTATGCTTGGTGCTCATGCATGCTCAGTCATGTCTGACTTGCGACTCCATAGGCTATATAGCCCACCAGGCTCCTCTGTCCATGGGATTCTCCAGGTGAGATACTGGAGTGGGTTGCCGTGCCCTCCTCCAGGGGATCTTCCCACCCGGGGATCGAACCTGCGTCTCTTACGTCCTGCACTGGCAGGCAGGTTCTTAGGACTTGCCTATTTTGGACATTTCATGTAGATGGAATCACACAGTGTATAGCTTTTTGTGACTCTCTTTGTGTAGCATGATGTTTTCAAGATACATCTATGGTTTAGTATGTATTGATTAACTAATTAACTAATTATTTTGTAAGGTTTAATAAAATTCTATTGTATGGGTAAACCTCATTTTGTTTCTCCATTCATCAGCTGATGGACATTTGAGTTGTTCACCCTTGTTGGCTATCATAAATAACACTGCTATCACCATTTCAATATGAAGTTTTGTGTGTACATACGTTTTCATTTCTCTTGAGTATATATCTAGGCGTGAGCTTGCTGGATCCTATGGTGACTCTATGTTTAGGATTTTGAAGAACCGCCAGTCTGTTTTCCAAAGTGGCTGCATCATGTTACATTCTTGTCAGTTATGTATGAGGGTTCCAATTTTTCCACATCTTTAGCAACACCTGTTATTGTCTCTCATTTTGATTATAACCATCCTAGCGTGTATGAGTCAGTATGTCATTGGGTTTTGATGTGCATCTCCCTAATGACTAATAATATGATTATTGGCCATTTGAAAATCTCCTCTGGAGAAATTTCTTTTGAAGTTATCTGCCCATTTGAAAATTTAGTTATTTATGTTTTAATTGTTGAGTTGCAAGTTCTGAATATCCTGGATACAAGTTCCTTATCTGACATGTGACTTGAAAATATCTTTCATTTAGTTGGTGGTC